TGCATAGAGAGGTAGTTAACTTAAGAACCGAACTCAATTTCCCAAGCAGAACCGTACAGACTTGCTATTGAGCAGTGGTGGCAGGCAATGGCACGCAAGGAACCGGTGTTATTGTCCTCATAGTCGACTGACCAGATGCCCTTTGACTGAGCTGATCTTGGTGAAAAAGTGGAAAAAGATGGAAAGCCTTGCTCCTGGCTCCATAGCAAAACCATAAATGTTTTGTTATGATTAAGTATACCTGTACTTGAAAGATCCAGGGTGACACAATGGCTTCCATGGGAATCAAAGTGCTGCATCTACAGTGAGCTGTACCTCTGAACCCTGGTACTAAGAGGTCCCCCCAGGACAGCAAGTCTTGTTCCTCCATAAAGGTACAGAGCAGACCATAGGACCATGGCCCTGTCAGCTCTTTTTTTCATCACTTTTTTTCCCTGTTGGAAAAGCAGTGACTTCCCTTGTGTAAAACATGGTGACTGTAACAGTGCATGGATGTGCTTCAGGGGAGTGCAGAGCACAAGGCTCTGCAGAAGCGCCCGCCCAGTGAGGGAACAGTGCTGGATGAAGCCTGGGGGAGGGGAATACTTTTTTGGGGAAAGAAATACTTTAATGTTCCTTAATCCAGGGAAAAATGGGCCAGCACGATCAGTGTTGAAATGATTCTGTGGAAAGGTGGTGGTGGGTAGGGAGAAGCACATTATCTTTCTCATTCCTACTGCAGCCCCACACTTGATGACTGAGCCCTGCTAAGGACCATAAAATCCAGGGGACCCCCTACCCAAAGACAAAATCAGCAGCCCAGGGCATCCCTGCCTGATCACCTGAAGACCATTGGAATGGCTTGTCCCTTCCTCCAGACTGCCCTCAACCTTAGACAATGATCAACAGCACTCACTGGGCTCCAGAGGCTGCCCTGGACCTGGGACCACCAGCTCCATTAGCCATTAGGCCACCCAGCCACGGAGCCGGCTGCGCAGCTAACGGCAGCAGGAGAGAGGGCAGATTACCCCGCAGCACGCTCATGGATTATCACAGCCCACAGGATCTCGGATTAAAAATAAAGACTGTTCCTCCGGAGGAAGCAGAACACACAGCTTTCCGAGTCGACCTTGCTTTGGCGAGGGGCTGGGCACGAGGGGGAGCGGCAGCCCTGCCCTCTCCAGCCCAGACAATGACAGAGCAGAATCGCTGCTCCCAGCCTGGGCACACAGACCGCACTTAGACTTTGCAATGCTATTAGCGCAGATTCCTCTCTCCGCTACCACTTTTTTTTTTTAATTTTATTTTGCAAACCTTTGTGGAACAGACGCCCTCTCCTTGCCCCAGTTGGAGCTGCAGTAGAATGAAAAGGGGGGTGGGAAGGAGGGAGGAGAGGAGGGGGAAAAAAAAAAACTGCTTTTGGTTGAGGTTTTCCTGTTACTATCACTGTAGCGTTTATTTAGCCAATCTCCTAACTATGACGTGAGGAAGGCAGGAATCATGGCTCGCTCATAATATTTAACACACCCACTGAAAGCTGGAGCTGCAGAGCTACTAGTCCAACCAGTCTCCAGAATTCAGTGTAGCTGAAAGAGGTTTTCACTCTGCACCTGCCAAAGATCTCTCCCCCCCCCTTCCCTTCTCTTTTCCTTTCTCTCTCTCTCTAAAAGGCAGATCTGTAAGACCCAGCAGAGATCAAAGACGGGACCTCTTTGCTAAAAAGAACCTCTACTGATTTATATTAGTTTCTTTCTTCTAATACTTCCTCCCCCCCCCCCCCCCCCACCCTCTGTGCCATATTTAACCTTTATGTTGCAGTTGTGCCATCAGTTTTGCAGCCAAAAAAAAACCAACCCAAGCCAAAGCAAAAGCTCAGCTCGGATACAGCAGCCACCCAGACTTGATCTCAGTTGAACATATTAATCTCTCCCAAGCACTGGACGCGATGGATGAAGAAACTGGAACCGCTCTAAGAAAATTATTTTCCAGCCAATGTTCTTAAACAGTCTCAGAGAAGAGAGGGAGCGAGAGCGAGCGGGAGAGCGCTTCTGCTGCATCACTGGTCAAATTCAAAGGAAGGGAGTCAGCGTTTCCAGCACAGCCAAATATTATGGATGATTTTTTTTCTTCTGTCGCCTTTCCGTACAGGTTTTCTTAATATTATTCTTCCCCCCTCCTCCTCCCCGGGTCTTCCTTTTTTTTTTTTTTTTTAATTTTATTTAATCCGAGCTAGCGTCTGATGCCGGTTTCTCTTCAAGAACCAGTTTTCCCTATTTGTTGTGATCCCTGTAATAAAAAGAGAGAGAAATCGTGAACAGATGGCTTTATATATTGCAATGCCGCTGGCATTGTTTTCCTATTGATTTTCAAGGCTCGGTCCGGTGCTCCTTTTTAAAAATTTTTTTTCCTTTTATTTCCCCCCCCCCCCCCCCCCCCCTCGCCCTG